CCAGTTAAAACTGTAAACACTTGTCCACATGCACAGTGTGGGTTGAAAAAAGTATGTGAACCTCTAAGGCCAGGGGTGTCAAACTCATTTTCACTGAGGGCCACATTAACATAATGGTTGCCCTCAAAGGGCCAGATTAACAGTATAAATGCAACTAAATGTAAAGTAATTTGAAATAAATTAAACTACTCCTTATCATATTGTTAAATAACCGTTTCTGTATTTATTACTTATTCAAGTTACAAATATTACATATGCATTTGCATAGTAAAAATAAATGTTCAGTTTAAGAAACCCACTTTACTCCATCAATTAACAATCAAACTATTCAAGTAAATCTGGAAAATATCAAAAAGTTATGACTAACTTTATTCAAAACTTTTTTTGTCATAGCCAAGGGGGGCAGAACTATGGCACAAACAACAAGTGTGACAGAAGTAGCATTTTACAACAACAACAAGGTAATGCTGCCTGTCCTTGAACACACAGAGTAGATCCCTCCTCACCCACAGACACCATTGCACACACATCCTCATCCATAGATCATGCTATGAAAATAACATGCAAGCACAATCATTAAATTGCACACATATTCTACTGTTCTTAGTCTTGGTTGAAATACATTCTATTTTAATTCAGGTTTTTAAAAATGCTTACCTATGTGTTTTCTGGCCAGATGTCTGACACCGCTTTTCCCTGGCCAGTGTGTCAATGTATGGTTTTAGGTCTTGTGCTGAGGCAATCCGCAAAACAGCGTGGAGGTTGTCACCGGTAAAGCATGATCTGTGCTTGGTCTTGTTTAGATTCATTATTGAAAAGATCTGTTCACACAGATAGGAGCTCCCAAACATTGACAGAACACGAGCAGCATGAAGTCGGAGCTGTGGCATCAAACCAGGAGGCAGTAGATGGTAAAAGTCCTCGATTGCAGCATCCTGGAAAGTTTTCTATCAGGCCACTATCGCTTTGAAGCTCAATTAACTACATCTGAAGGTGATGGGGCGCACTGCAGACACCAGCGGTGAAAGGATCGGCAAAGATGGCAAAACCAGAGGGCTGTGCTTTAAAGTCAGAGAAGCGCCGATCAAACTCATTCATTAACCGGTTCAGTTTGGTAGCCAACCGAGCACATGAAACAGCACCGGGAACTGAGGCTGAGACGCTCTGACAAACAGGAAAGTGGCCAATTTTTCTTTTTTTGGACATTTTGGGATCATTTATAGAGATTTCTCGATTCCACTTAAAGTGGGGAGATGCCGTTACTTCACGGGTAACAATCTAAATGCATTGTGGGAGATGTAGTTTATGGTCAATGCACGCTTTAAAGCAGAATATACTTATTTTAATATATATTTGCACCTATTAAGCTCTCGCGGGCCACATAAAATGACATGGCGGGCCTTGAGTTTGACACATGTGCTCTAGGCTAATGACACCAACAAAAGTTAATTGGAGTCCTTCAAGCCCTTTGGCAGCTTGGAACACCCATTGTAAATCCAATTGTGGGCGACAAGTGCCCCTGGGATATCATGGTCATAACTGACCAGGAGGAACCAGTCAAGCATAGTCTAGCATACATGAATTTTAATCTTACTGTGAGCTTTGGATTCAGATAACAAAATAAAGACTGAATTAGATTGCTGGGCAAACTAGCATAAAAGTAGCCTGGATTTTTTTCCACCGACAGAAAGTAGATCCATGACTTGCTGCACAGGGCTTGTCCTAGTGACACAGACCATAATATCCTAAACAAGTGGCGAATACGCACATATACGTATTTCTATCTTTATGAGGACACTCATTGACATAATCCAAGTTGAACCCTAAAACCCAGTCTCAACCCTCAAAAAGGTGTTTCAGAAAGTGAGGACTGGCCATAATGTCCTCACTTTCCAAAAATGTCCTTGAACTGTAGCAAAATGAACACACCCACACATTGTGTTTCCATAAATTCAGGGGACATTACATTGACATATTCATCTCTTGGAGACGTACCCTAACCTTAAACCAAGTCATCACTCTACAGTGTAATAATTTATGTTTTGGGGACTTGATTTTTGTCCCCACAAGGATGGCGAGTCATCACAGTGTGACTGTGTAAACAGATGTACATCCCCACAACATGAGTAATACCAGGTTAAACATACTCCGATGACAAAGGTGAACTGGACAACACTCAGAGAGTGCAAACCTACACCAAGGGGCAATTCAGTTTCCCAACAATGCCATAAAAACAATATTCCCATGATAGTTTGACTCTCATAATAGGACCATGCAAAGAATAAAAATTACTGAAAAAAAAATCATTAAGTCTGTTCTCTGCTCTTCCATCACTGTCTGGTTTGGCTCAGCAACCAAACAGGACAAGAACAGACTCCAGCAAACAGTCAGGACTGCAGAAAAAATCATTGGTGCCAGCCTGCCCTCCATGGAGGACCTATACACATCACAGGTCAAAAGGAGGGTAGAGAAGATTTCTGCAGACCCCTCACACCCTGGACACAAATTGTTTGAACTCCTCCCCTCTGGATGGTGCTACAGGTCACTGTATGCCAAGACAACCAGACACAGAGACATTTTCTTCCCCTGAGCCATCACTCTGATGAACACTTCACACCCATGACTGTATAACAGAACAACAACCCTTAGTGCAGTACCTTGCAAATTAACCAATGTATACAACATGTCTGTCTGTAAGCTTCCATCTAAAATGTATGTATATACACATATTTTACAAGTACTTTTATTTTTTGATGCATATTCCTTTTACTTGTTTGCATATTCTTTCCTTCGCTTGTTCTCTCAGTTTTGTCGTTTCCTTGTTGCCCTTTGGAAGAACACTGTACATGCACATGGACAGCCTCTGTACTGGGAAATTACAGTAATTATAATAATAATTATTATTCAAATTGACCTCTGCTTGGTCAATATGAAGCATTATCACATATAACAACAACAACAATAATAATATATTATTATTATTACTTGCAATCTAACAGTTTTCTTGCTGGCTGAACAATTCCATTTGTGTATTATGTAGAATAATTTTCATTTCCGATGATAAGAGCATCACAAATTCCAACAGCTCAGTCAGAGTCCAGACCTTAACAGAATAGACATGCTGTGGAATGAGGTCAGACAGATGCTCACACCAGAAATCCTATGAATATGCCTGACCAGACACAGTTCTGTGAGGGAGAATGGTCCAAAAATCTTCATGAATGCTGTGCAGGTCTGATCCGCAACTACAGGAAGAGCTTATTAGAGGTTAATGCTGCCAGAGGTGCTTCAACCAGTTATTAAATCCAAGGGATCACACTTTTTTCCACTAGCACTGTGAGCATTTGATGGGTATGTTGCATAAAGACCTGAAATATTATCACTGTTTGTGTGTTATTAGCTTAAGCACATTGCACTTGTCTATAGGTGATGAAAATGAAGTCCAATTCACATAGAAAACCAGGTAATCCCTCAGGGTCCACATACTTTTTCTTGCCACAAAATTTCATTAAACTACTTAAGACAGTATTCAGGACCAGTGTGTTAAGCTAAACAGATTGTGGTGCTGTACGGTGGAAAGTGAAGCTTTAAGTTTCTAGCTGTATTCGGATATCTGTGTTTCATTCTTATAAACATCCAAAAGGAACATTGATACCAACAGTATTAGCTGACAAAAACACTGCTGATAAGCAAAAATTCAAGGCAGAAATCACACCAATATGTCTAGATTTAAAGCTAGTTCAGAAATCTGTTTTTGTTGCAACACTGACTTTTCCAGCCCTGTTAATACCTCAATAAGAGTCTCTGCAGGATCTCCAGAGTCCGGCCGGATGACCAGACAGGAGTCCTGGCTGCGCTCCATGACTCGCTTCTTCAGTTTGTCTCCCCAGATGTGTTTACAGGCATTAAAGATATCATAGCTGTCACTGACCACTGATACGGGACCTGTGGAGAACTGGTCCAGGACCCGCTCAAATGCCTCCTTCTCCCTGCTCCTCCCCCAGGAAATGATGGTACTAAATGACAGGAAGGAAGGAATCAACAGTCTCATAGTGCTGGAAATCATAGTACTTGTACTATTTGAAAATACAACCCGATGGTGTTACAGTTTCTTCACAGTTCACCTCAACTGGACAGACTTTCAGGTAGCTAGAAACAAAGGTGACAAAGTTTGATAATGTACAGTATTTAATCTTTGCAGATACAACTAGAATTACTACTTTGCAGTTGCATGCCTCCACCAGCCAGTCAAATCCATGGGAATGGGACAGATGTGAGGCAAGTAATGATAATTAAAATTTGAAACAGTAAAACTAACTACTAACCATTGGAAACGTTACCATGGTTTACAGTGAAACCGGTAACTGGTTCATCACTCATGATAATATCTATCTTGGTGGAGATTTTTATGACCTGTACTGCAACCAGTCACCAGAAGTCCATTGATCTGCAGTGGCTTCTGGGAGCTGTCAATTCATCCATCGTTATAGTCTAGAGTTGCCACAGACTACATTTACTGGGGTACACAGTCTCATCCATAATTGATGTATCCATGTGTGGTATACCTGTGCTCTGCTGCTGGTATGGAGAAGCCAGCCATGGGGCAGCTATAGTATCGCTGAGCCATCACCAGACCAGCTACTGTGTCTGTACTGCAGAAATTAACCAGGTGAGCTGCTCCACCTAATGCCGCAGACTGGACAGTAGAGGTGGAAATTACCAATCACTTTGCTGTTTCAAATAGTGTTTTTGAGTTCAGTTCAAAACCAGGCACTGTTTAACAAATTAACAGCTCAATAATAAGAGTTATTACATTCTGATTATTTCTGAGGATTATTTGTTTTTTTAAGCTTGATATTAGTAATAGCATACACTCACTAGCCACTTTATTAGGTACACCTGTATGCAATTCAATGCAACCCTTTCACCATAACGACTGGGGTTCAGTGGGTAGACCAGTTGTCTCCCAACCAGAGGGTTGGAGATTCGAATCTCGGTGCCTGCAGTCCACGTGTTGAAATGTCCTTCGGCAAGACAAAACCTGAAACATTTTGAGCTTCATAAGCACAGATGTTAAGGTGGAAGTGTCGCACTGTAGCGCATGCAAATGCACAGGTGTACCTAATAAAGTGGCTGGTGAGTGTATTTATGATAGCTCAGCTTAGGCCTGATCTAAGACCTTTGTACTATGTATCACAGTGACTTAAGTGTAAGAAAAATATGGGTGTAAAGTAACAAAAAAACCCCACAATGTGCTAAGAGAATGAGTAACTCTCACTGCAGTAAATATAAATAAACAACATAATCACATACAGTGAAGGTAGTCATCCCCACCAGGTCAGAGAAAACCTTTTTTTCTACTTTACACCTGGATTCACCTGTTTGTTTTTTGTTGTTGTTTTTTTTTTTAACACACATCAAAACTGATTGAATTTAGCTGATTCTCTAGCTGACTGTTTATATAGAATTGCCAATGCTATAGTAAAAACACAGTACCTATAGATAAAGTACAACATCAATAACAAGGCGTAATGCAAAGAAATATAATGAGGGATTCTATTAAGCGTTGCCTATAAGATTTTCTCAACCTTAGTGCTGGTTTCTCATAAACAAGAATGAAAATTTTAGTTACCTCCTGTGAGGAGACTCCTCTGTAGCCAAAGTCATGCAGTTTCAGATCTAGGCCTTCCAGGCTTCCTGAGGTGGCCTTCAGATGCTTGGCCAGGGTCTTCTTAAACTCCCTGGATATGGTTGCTACTGTGATGGGGTACCACATCTGGACCAGCATGGTCTACATTCATAAATCAATCACAACCTAGAATTACCAATTTGTAGCAGTTGCATGCCTCCGCCTACCAGTCAAATTCATGGGAATAGAATGGACTGTGACTTTGACCACCAAAATCTAACCAGTTCATCCTTTAGTCCAAGTGGACATTTGTGCCAAATTTAGATAAATTCCCTCAATGAGCTCCTAAGATAGCGTTCACAATAATTGTACATACTGTATGTATGGACAACTTGAAAAAATAATAGCTTAGGAAACAGGAAAGGGAATGACAGAAATTCCAGTGATTGAACACCATTGAGAGCGTCATTACTGGCTGCATCACTGTGTGGTACGGAGTCTATACTGCCTCCTGCAGAAGGACCCTGCAACGCATAGTGAAAACAGCCAGCAAGATCATCGGTGCCCCTCTGCCTTCCCTTACGGATATCTTTAACACCCGCCTCACCTGCAGAGCCATCAGCATTGCTGATGACACGTCCCATCCCGCAAACTCCCACTTCAGACTCCTGCCTTCAGGGAGAAGATATCGGAGTCTTCAGGCCCACTACACCAGACTTGCAAACAGCTTCATCCACCAGCCTGTGAGGATGCTGAACACTGTTCACTACCTCCCCCCTCTGCCCCTGGACCATAACCCACCACAGAACATAAAAGATATAAAAAGACTACCCCTGCTGTTTTACCCTCTGTTATGCTGACTGTTTTTCTTTTGCTGGGATATCTGCTGCAGTACTGTCCATGTGTACTTCATATGCTATTTGCATCTCATCACCAATGCCCTGATGATGCTGAACCTTCTGACAATCTCCTATTACTGTTTTGCACTAATGTCACTGACTGTACTCAGTTTTGAGTCACAGCTTATTGGCTGTACCGTTTAGACTTATCCTAATTACGTTAATCCAGTTCTTATTCTATTGTATTTTATTCTACTTTATTCTATTTTAGTTCCTAAATGTTATGGCACCCAATAATAGGTGAGAGAGAAACGGTATTTCGATTTTCTGTATGTCCTGCACCTATGGTGAATTGACAATAAAATCCTTGAACCTAGAATCTAAATACAGGAGTTTCTACAGGTTTCATCAAAGTTGAGACTGATTTCACAAGGAAACTTCATGTATTAAAACATTCATGAATTTATTTTGAATATGAATAAACTGCTGTTTCCTGTTCCTGTGGTAATCATATTCACTTCCCGTTTCCTGTGCCTGCACCGTGTTGTACATCCTACCAGATTGTTTACGGATTAAGCTCACTATTTTCTAGGTTGCCAGAGTGACGACATACGCCTGCACTATTTAATCACCTGTATTACAGAAGTTCTTGCTAATTACCAAATTTAACTTGCTACTTTAGGTCGGCTAGCTTAGAAGCTAGTAGCTTAGTTGAGAGCAATGGCTTCCCCCTCTTCCTCTCGTTCTTTCTCTTGCTCGGAGTGTCGCATGTTCAGTTATTCCTCTGCCTCTTTTAGTGATAATGGTACTTGTAATAAATGTCAGATGCTAGCAGCATTGGAGGCGAGGCTCACCGATTTGGACGCACAGCTCCGCACCGTGGAAAACAGCCCAGCTAGCCAGGCCCATGTAGCGTGTGCCTTAGCCTCCTAGTCGTAGCTTAGAATCAGAATCAGCTTTATTGGCCAGGTGTGACGGACATACGAGGAATTTGACTCAGGTACATCGGCTCTCAAAGTGCAAAACAGTAAACCAGCATAAGGCTGTGTAATATAACAAAACAGCAGTATTAACATCAACAACCAGTGCAAACAATGCAGAAAAAGCAGTGTAAACAGACAGTAAACAATGCAGACAACAAGGGAATGTTCATTGAAATGAGATAAATAGGAATAAAACAAAGTACTTAAGAACTAGAGACCTGTACAAGTCTGTATAATCTGTACGAGGTATCTTTACAGGTATTGCACTGAGGGTTATTGTCCAATCATACTGTCGTGGGTTAAGTGTTCATCAGAGCGACAGAAGAAACTGTCCCTGTGCCTGGTTGTCTTACTGCACAGTGACCTGTAATGCAGTCCAGAGGGGAGGCGTTCAAACAGATTGTATCCGGGGTGTGAGGAGTCAGCAGTGATCCTCCCAAAAGGAGGGCGAGTTAGTTAGCCCAAGCTAGCTGCCCCCCCAAAGCTTCCTGAGCCAGGTGGCAGTTGGGCAGGTGGGTGACAGTTCACAAGAGTCGCAGCTCAAAGTGAATGCCCATGGTGCATCACCTGCCTGTTCACATTTCAAATCAATTTTCCTCACTCATCGACACACCCGCTGACAAGACAACTTTGGTAATTGGCGAGTCTGTAGTCAGCTAGAGACACTGGTGGCCATAGTCAAATGTATTCCCGGGGCCAGAGCGGGTGACATCAAATCCTATTTGAAGATGCTGACTAAGGATAAGCATTAATACAGTAAGGTTGTTGTTCACAATGGCGCTAATGACTCTCAATTTCCCCAGTCAGAAGTCACTATAATTAATGTTGAGTCGGTGTGTAACTTCGTTAAAACAATGTTGGATTCCAGAGTTTTCTCTGGACCCCTGCCCAATCTGACCAGTGATGACGTGCTTATCCACATGTCGCCATTCAACTGCTGGTTGTCTAGGTGGTGTCCAGAAAACGACATGAGTTTGATACACAACTAGAAAAAATTTAGGGGAAAACCTGGTCTGATTAGCAGAGATGGCATCCATCCCATTTTGGATGGTGGAGCTCTTATCTAGAAATTTTGATGAGTTTATTTTACAAGCTACATTATGGCAACCCAAAGTTAAGTCAAGGACACAGGGTCTTACGCAGTCTTACACACCTCTCTGCTGTCCCTTTGCAGCTGCTACCCACCCAAAACTCCCAGTCTCCCATCAAGACTGTGTCTGCCCCCCGACCACCTCCATCCATCTTCATCCGGGACCGGGACGTGAGGGCAGTAGCCTGAGCAGAGCCTCCCAGACTTCCCTCTCACCACACACCCCCTCTAGCTCCTCAGGAGGAACCCCAAGGTGTTCCCAGGCTAGCCGGGAGACAGTCACTCTAACATGTCCTGGGTCTGCCCCAAGGTCTTCTCCCAGAGGGACATGCCTGGAATACCGCCCCAAGGAGGCGTCCAGGGGGCATCCTAAAAAGGTGCCCGAGCCACCTCAACTGGTTCCACTCAACGCAGCTCTACTCTGAGATCCTCACGGGTGACTGAGCTCTGCCCCCTATCCCTAAGGGTGCACCCAGCCACTCTCTGAAGGAAACTCATTTCTGCCGCTTGTATCCGCGATCTCATTCTTTCAGTCATGAAAGAAAGTTCATGGCCATAGGTGAGGGTAGGAACGTAGATCGACTGGTAAATTGAGAGCTTCGTCTTATTACTCAGCTCTTTCTTCACCACAACAGATTGGTACAGAGACCTAGGGCTGGGTGATATGGCAAAAAATAAAAATCTAGGTTTTTTCATAAAATGTGACAGATTCACGATTTCGATTTTTTTTTATGTGTAACTAGCCAACTTAAACACAAGTACAACAACATGACTGAAGTAACATTCTCTTTTTAAGTAACTTGAAAAACCATCAGTTTAAGAAACATTGTATTTTAGTGTGCATGCCATACATATTGGTCAACAAGGTGTAAATAAATGTAAAACAAATTCTCTAATGAAATGTCTTTGCAGCTGAATTAAATATGAAAGTAAATATTGAATTCTTCTGAATACAGAATAAGGAAATAACCATTTTAATCAATGACCAATGATTTGAACCAGTCAACTCAAAAAATTAAGCACATTTACACCAGAAGCATTATTAACAGTAAATGTTTGTGTTAAAAAATAAAACTAACAGCACTTTGCTGACCATCATGCAAACATGTTGATATATCACATGTAGTTGTTCTTTACAAGTTTCTTGAGAGGAAGACCAGTCTGTCTACTGTTTCAGGCTTTAGAGATGCTCTATGACAGGTTATAATGTTCCCACCTGCACTGAACACTCTCTCAGAAGGAGCACTAGTTGCGGGAATACAGAGTTTTTTTTTTGCAAGTTTGCTGAGCCTGGGGAAGATTGCCTCATTAGCCTGCCACCAGTGAAGTGGGTCTGTGTCTTAATCTACACCAGGAGACATCAAATAGACTGTCAACTCCGCTTTGACTTTGTCTTCTTCTGATTGATTGACAGGTTGTGGTGCCAGTGCTGTTGTCTTAAAAAAGCTTGCCAAGGTTTTCTTCCTCTTGGCCCCAGCTTCTGTTCTCTGTTCTTCCCGCTCCACAACCTGAGTCATCTGAACTGTTGACTCAAGATTTTTGTCTGGCAAAAAAGATGTCAGCTCTTTAACAACTTTTTGCTTGATTTCCTCCAACTTGTCATGTTCAATGCAAGTTGTACGGAACCTGGGATCCATCAGAGAAGCTATGTTGAGGAGTTCATTTGTGACAGGGTGTATTTGCTGTTGAGGTACTGCAGAATTGTGCTTTTGATGTGTTTTGTTAAATCTGTGTCATCATCTTGCGCTTGTAGAATGCTACTGTTAAAGAGATGGAGCACTGGATTGAGGTACAAGGCACTCACATATGCTTCACCTGACAATGCATCAGTGAACTCTTGCAAAGGACTTGCATCTTTATTTATGGATTCCATGACATCGATGTCTTGCCATGTTGGAACAAGCTGCCAAGTTCTTTTTTTTATCAGAGCCAAGGACCTGAGCTTTGGCTTTCTCCTGTTCTAAAACCCACTCGATCATCTTTTGTCTTGAACCCCACCTGGTGGGGGTCTCTGTAATGAGCTGATGAGAAGGAAGCCCGAGCTCAGCCTGTGCTGTAAGTGCATTTTCCTTCCAGCTGAAGGAAAATGCACTTACAACCTTCTTGCACACTGCAACTGCACGGTCTTTCACACCATGCTCTGTTAAAAAAAAGCAAGGAAATAGATTTGAAATAGCAGTTCATTCTTCTGTGACAGAAATATTGTGAAGAGCTTTTTCCTTCCTAACTTTAGCGTATGAATCTATAAAC